TATATATATATATCAAACTTCTATATGAAAGAACTATTTTCTTGGAGTCAATTTTTCTTAATAGGATAACTGCACATTGCAGATTATAAACCTCATATCACCCCACTTGGCACAGAGCTTAGATCAATGGCCAACACCACAGCATGTACAGTATGGCTCCCTGGAAGATAAGAACACTCCTTGGACCTGGGCAGACTGCATCTTACTGCATTCACAAAAGTCTGCATATAAGATATGTGTTTTATGTATTTATATGAGGAGGGCAGGGGGGTGGAGGGGTGTTATACATTTTAGTATGCAAAGTGCATCTATCCTTTAAATACCATAATGATAAAATCAATGATGTACTAAAGGTATAGCAGTCAATCAGTTAGCTAAACCTGCACATCGGCTGCACATCAGCTGCCATACAGTACCTGCTCCTACTTTGAGAGTATCACTTGCCTTCCCTATAAGCTACTGAAGCCCCATAAACCTCCTGAGCTCCTAGATTGTTCACTTCTCCTGCCTTCTGTGAATAGCCCTGTTAGTTTTGAATAGAGTGCTGAAGGGTTAGAAAAACTGTCAGGTTTTTATTGCTGTCTGCGTCACTGTTAGTGGGATTCAAGCCTTCTAATTGTCCTGATTAGCAGTGTCACGGGAATGAAATTGATGGTAAATGCAACATTTTGAGTTGCCCCCGGAGCAAGAATAGATATGAAATCTTTCTACAGGGATACTTGTTCCGGTGACAACTTTTTAAGAGGGATTTTCCTCACATTGAAATTATTTTCTTTCACCTTCTGATGAGTCACTGATGGCAAAAAAAAACTGACAGCAGTTTTAACCCTCCCCTACTTTATCTAAAATTAAAATAAAGTTGGAGATATACATAGGAAGCTAGAGCAGTGTGTCAGCAGCACTGTGGGTGTAGAAGCTTACTCCTTATGTGCCTTTTGTACTGCGTAAGTCTTAGTTTGCCTAGCATTTCCTTATTACAGATCTACAAAGGTAGAACACTATATACTTATAAAGTATATAGCCTATATTGTAACTGTTGTTTAAATAAGCATTTTTTATTTGTGCAACTGAAATTGTGCAACTAAAATGGGTGTTTTTTACTTGTAATAAACATAACTATGATATATGATTATACTCCAAGAAGATGTTAAATTCTCAGGAACTTTCAGTCAACTGGATTGGCAGAGGGGAGGTGGGTTAGTCACCTCAGTATCGATAATAAAATAATTCACCACTTATCATTCATGATTTTAGTAACTTCCAGAACCAGCAGCACTTTACATAGTTTCACTGCTCATCGGAGATGCCAGAAAAACAAGTAATCATCTAACACCTAGTATAGGGAGATCAGGGATCGAGTTCCTGAAGGTGACAAAATGGCTTTAAGGTAGCAAATCATGAGATCTTGGCTATATAGGTAAGTGTTACGATTCTTCACTTGCCCTTGTGAAATGATAGGTTTATATGCTTAAGTTTAATTCACTCATAGCAATTATATTTTTGTGGAGGAGACTTCTTAGACAAACACTATTGTACCGGTAACCATTATTTGAAATAGTAAGTTACCAAGATTTTCTGCACAAACAGTCTGTTGCAATGGTTAAGAAGTCTTACAGTATGCTGAGATGCTAAAATGAAAACATATAACTGTAGTTTTAAATAGACAACCCTAGTTAACACTCCCCTTTCCTCTTTATCCAGAATGTATACAGAGTTACAGCACTCAGATGCACTCTTCTTCAGAATGGACTGCTGCAGCTTGTAGAGGACCTCAACTCTGTAAGTTGGGGCACAAAAAGGTCTAATCACCAGTATTGATTGAACATTCCTTTCAGCTAATCTTTTTCCTAGTAATAATTCACTATGCATGTCTGTTTCTGCTGTGTGGAAGGAGACCATCTTATTAAGAAAGCAGGGATCTGCTTCCTCATGTCAGACCTGCACCTATGATGACTGCTAATCTGATAACTGGTAGGGTTATATTGAAGAAGCAACAGGAGAGATCCACATATTAAGTCCACATATTCACATCCACATCTGAACTAAAGCACAAGCAGGGAGATGCATGCAGTGCAGATTTCTCCCCAACAAACATCACCAAATCTTACTCTAAATCCTAAAGAGACTAGCAGTCACAGGCAGTAGTGCGTTGCACAGCTATGAAACATAGATATAGACATGCCTAGGCACCCTCACATTCTATTTTCAGGTGGTGTTCCTGTAAAAAGGTACATTCTTCAGGGTACTGCTCATGCACCAGTAATTTTTCTAGATGATCCCTATATTCTCATTGTTTTTAGCTTAGGTCTACTTTACTTTACAGGTCTACTACTACAAAGTGTCTCTTGGCAAAGTGGTGCTTACGCAGACAGGTTAGGGACTGCAGATATAAACAATGTACTGGTCTGTCTGTAACCGCCCAATCTCAGTAAGGGTGTATTTGAATGAGGAGGATGAATGTAGATGGCCTAGAGTCTTCGTAGAGCAATGGCTCCTCTTTAACATGAAAATACCTTTATTACTAAAATGTATGCAGATAACCATATAAAAGAAAGTCATGTGATAGAAAAACCAGCAATTTTGCTAGAACACATATCTATTGCTATTAGTTCTTAATTGAGGTTGAAAAACAAAATGTCAGATATCTGATTTTTATATGTTTTAGATTATACTGATCTGTTGTATATGGGTAACCTTAGTTTCCACTCAAATAGAAACAATATATTAAGCAGAGTCCAAAAATTTACTGGAGGCAAACATCATATACAAAAGTTAATGGTACATACCACAAGAGATTATCAACAGCTCTATACTCTAAATTGTAGCAAATCTCAGAGTCTTTCCATAGAAAAGTAAAAACAAACCTCTAATTTTGGGATTTTTTTTCTCTGTTAATTTTTTATGTTTTACGTAGTCAGCAAGTAAAAAAAATCTGCATTTAACATGTTTTTCTAGTCTTAACAACTTTACTCTGATATCGAACAAGTATTCCAGAGGATCCAACAAGATACACATCGAATAGGTATGGTGTGCCTTTCTCTAGACCACCAATAGTTTCTGTAGTCACTGCTTTCTGGACATTGATATCATGGAAGTACTTGCAGAGAACTTTTTCCGATCTTGGCCGCAATTCGGGTCCTAAGCACTGGTCAACATTATAGGTTTCTCTCCAAATCTCATCTTCTTGAATCTTCTTTTTATAGACACAATACATGTTCCTTTCCTGTGTACCAAGCCAGGCAATTGTTATTGAGTCACAGGTTCTTAGCTTGTTGAAGGATTTAATCTTCATACTTGATGGAAAAAATGGGAATAAGGTTTTGTGGATATGGGATGATGCCTGAATCATGGCAGATGCATTTGGCATTACATCTGATGATTTAAAAACAGCTAAGTATTTATCCATCATTTTTCCTTTAAATGTTATATGTCTTAGACCTTGAATGGTTTCTGATACCAGCAACTTACCATTTCTTGATATTTGAGCTCGTATTTGTCCTCTGCATGTCTGCAATGTGAATTGGACTTTTTTATCTACTGTCTGGTACTCAAAGCTGTAAACTTTTAGTTTTTTACCATCAAACCTGATTTGAACTACTTTACCATCTTTTAGAGGCATAACCTTAGGCTTAGGCTCCATCCAGGTTTTTGCAAAGGTACCTGTGTAGGCAACACTAGCATTTGTTAGGAGATTGACAACAAATACGTCAATGTAATACTGAGTGTTAGAGCTCAAATTGGAAACTGTGTATGTGTTTTTGTTTCCAATACACATTTGCCTTACATCTATATTGTTGGATCTGTGAATAACACTAATATCACTGTTTGAAAGGAGCATTACCTGATGATGGTCATCAAGATATTGTGAAATGGGGTAACTTGGTAACTTTGGCCATTTTCTGTTTGCAGAGCGTATTGCAGTGTCAGCAGCACACAAACTTTTGTAGTTATGCTTTTCGTTGACAAGAACACAATATTGAACGTTCTCCTTCTGCTTTGTGGCAGATGGACTTGGTTTCCAGACAAGGGAAACAGAATTGTGGTTGACTGAGCTGATGTCAATCCGAGGATCCCCTGGAAGCTCAGGAAATAGGTTACCATGAGCCAAATCAGTTGTGAGATACACTGAGATGTGAGTGTCTCTCTCAGTAGAGAGAAATTCCAGGACAAAAATTGAAGAATGCGAAGATGTGCCAACATAGTTTTCAACTGAGTTTCCTTTATAATGGAAAAGTATAGACGCGGTCTTGTAGTAGGATCGAGCTTTTAGGTCATCAAATGATCTGTATTTTTCTACAATAAAAAAACACAACAAAAGTGTCCATGATAACAAATACCTACAATATTCCAAGCCATTATATACCAAACATAAAGATAAACAAATACACTAAATGAATAGATCATTTGAGAAAGACCTCTAAAAAGGAACTTGAATTTGTTAGAAAAAAATTGTTCCAATAAATGAACATATTAAATCAAATAAAATATATACATTTTATATTGTTCAAAATAAATTGGCCAGTTAGAAATAAAAATAATCACGGCATTAAAAAGAACACAAAACCTTGTCATTATTGAATAAAATATAATGGTTTTATAAGGAAAGGATGCCATATCTTGTAACTACTGTAACTATGCGTTATGCTACTAATATTACTCAATTATATGCTACTGCTAGATACTGAAGCCAAAGAATATTACATGTAAACAAGTTAATCTGCGCTTCTGGAGGGGGGTGATAATAAAGGAATAAAAGAATTAAAGATCTCTATTTATTTATAGTGTTCTAGTTTGGTTTTTACACAGCTATACACCTAACAGGTTTACAAATCGGCCTTTGCCCGAACACCTACCCTTCGCTCCTTTGCACATTTTTTCCCCTAGCGCTTTGCTTTTTTCGATCAAAGAATATTACATAGCAGATTAATGATCATCTCCTTGTAATGTGTTCATAAAAATTAGCTTTCTTACATAGCGCAGAATGTTCTTCATTTGGTCAGCAGTTCATGAGCCCAGTGTGAAGGTCAATCAAGTTTAGAAATTCAACTTCCAGCAATCTCTTTAATTACTGACAAATTTAAGTTATACAGGTTCTGTATTAGTTATATTCAGTCAGTGACTTAATCAGCTAAAACTAAAATAATTACTGTAGACCAGTAATTAAAGTTATGAATTGTCCATCCTGTGGTCAGAGAAATTGCTTGACAGGAGCAGGCTGTGCTTTATTTAAAATCAAACTGAGCTTATTAAAGTAGATGTAAAAGCAGTTGCTAAAATCTCTATCATTTCTAATAGGGATGTACTGATAATGTTTTTTCGGTATCGAGTATGAGTTCTGATTGCGTTCGGTACTCGCCTATACCGAGTACTGATATAGGCTTCCCAGGCAATCAGGAAGCCGAGTGGTGGGTAATGACATGTCGCCCAGCTTCCTGATTGCCCAGGAAGCCGGCTCCATGTTGTTTGGCCGGCAAATCGGCTTCCCAGCCAATCAGCATCAAGCCGGCTTCCCGACCAATCAGCAAGGAGTCGGCTTTTCTGCTGGCTCGATGTTGATTGGCTGGGAAGCCAGCTTCCTGGCCACTCAGCATGGAGCTGGCTTCCTAGCCAATATGGAAGGTGGGTCATTACTCGCCGCCCAGCTGGCTCCATGTTCCCCTATGGCACTGCTGCCCCGGTATCGGGGAAGGTATCGGAGCATTTGTATTGGTATCGGTGCATCCCAATTTTCTAAAGTAGTTTTCAGTCTTTTTAAATATACAGTTTCTTAAAATAAATACCTAGTAATCCTGCCATGCAGCTCTTTGTTCAGGCATAACCTGTTGTGGGGTGACAATATTCTGCCCTTATCTCTTAATTGCTTTCCTGCATTGTCACCCTGTCACATGTGTGTGTAAAATAGATTGTAGGTGGACTGACTCTCATTACGCAGGCATGGTCTGCAGTTACCAGCAGGAAACCTACCCGCAACAATGACATGCAGCCACAGTTATGGCAAGTGCATATAGACAGCAAGCAGCTGGAAGAGGCTGGGGAAATAAGCGGCACTGAGATTTCAAAGGTATTTTAAAAATGTGGAAACACTAATTTATAAAAGAAATAGGACACAACAATTGGATATGTTACACAGTGCTTTAGTTAAATATAATCTAAATGTTAGCTAAATGTTATCTAGTTAGAGATTACATCTACTTAAAGGGTTTATCAGCTAAGCATGGGGGTGCATGCTGTGGTGTTTAGTAAAAGTGACTTGTGTGTAAATAATTTGCCAGATCCATATGTAGCACTCCTCTTCTACAGTTTATGTGGATTGACCCTGTAAGCAGTATGGCAGGCTATCATTTCCATCTCATGGTTGAGTTCCTGGTGTATGGTTAAAAGACAAAAAATATAGGCCCCAGTCACTTTATTCTTTTTACAATTTATTGCTGAACTCACTTCTAGGAGAGAGGGTTTAAGGGTGCGGTATACACCGGTAAAGTACATACATTAAACAGGTATTCCGGTAGTAGCAGGCTTTTTAAGAGCAACCTCTTGGTAATAGTTGGGTCTGTGAGAGAAGTCAAACAGATCTATGTTCCTGTAAAAGTAATCACAGTCTTTCTTAAGTTGCAGTGGATCTCTCTCAGATCAGTCTGGTCCTTAACCCCTTAAAAAACAGTTAAAGCCCTTGGCCTCCAGCACAGGCCCCTGGCTGAGGCAAGGCTCAAACAACACCCTCTACTGACATCCTGTTCAGGCAGAAGGGGAAAAGAAAATACTCTGGAAAGGTGCATATATATTTATTAATAATAAAAGATGTGGATCCGCGCTTTATGGATAGCCCTGATTTAATATCCTGATACCAAAGCAGCTGCGCTCTCAACCCTGGGGTCCAAATAGATAAAGTGTGTAAATTGTGCAGCGCTAACTAGCACTGCACAATTTACACACTTTATCCATATATATTTATTATCTCCCCACTCTATACCACTAAAACAAAAAACCTGAGGTATTGATTGGGCCAGAGAAGTAGGGATGCACCGATACTTTTCAGATACCAGTGCCGATACTTGACATTTTCATGAGAACTACCAGGGTTGCAGCGGTTGCAGCTGGGACCTAGCTCTGGTGCTCCACCACTGTCCTGAAATCATTAGTCGATATTGTTTTAGAAAAACTGTCACATGACAATAAACAAAAATGTATCAATACTTGTACTTGTAAGTACCTGGGCAAGTATCAGTACTTGTACTCGCAAAAATGGTATTCGTGCATCCCTTTATTTATATTCATAAAAACAAAACAGAGATGTACAAATCCCAGAAGCTCCGTGTGCTTCTTACAAATGACAGCTGCCTCCTAACTTTTGAATTTTTCTCTAGTCTAGTCTTGGAGCTAGAAAAGTATCTGTACTTATACTTGTACCAAGTACGGTACTTGGTATTGGTGCATCCCTACAGAGAAGTATTCATAACTTAGTGATGGTTCTTCCCACTTTAATAACTGGAACCTCCTCAACATTAACAGGCAAATGCAATCAACACATGGAGCTTAGAAGAACCAAAAGAGCCTATAAAAATGTAAGCAAAGCTCAGCCTAGCTGCAAAATACACTAAATATTTAGGGACACTTACATCTTACGGCGGGTCCCTAAACACATTCTATCTGCGACTAAATGTGCCCAAATACATTAGATACTAGTTACCAAAAAGGCCACATAATCTTCCAGGTCAAATAATTACCTTACATAATGAGGACACACAGGCAGATATTTGCAATCATTTGGTAGTGTGTTGAACTGTGTGCTGTTTTTGCTTTCTGATGACATTTAAAAGCCTCCACCAGTCTGTCTTTCATGCTCTCTAGCCTTCTCTCTACCTTCCCACCCTGTCCAACAGTCAATGAGGACAGTTTGTGTCAAGGGCTATAGTTTTAAAAATAATAGTAAGCCCATTTTTGCTATACATGAGTGCACTTGGAGTTGTGAACATCTAGTAACAGCACTGTTACTGTTCAATAACAGTTTGTGTTGGGGGCTGCTTGCCACTGTGGAGTTTAGTGTTTGCTACTGCAGCATGCCATTAATTATGGTCGCTTCCTACTCAGATTCAAAAGGAGTCCCAACTATGTATTTGGTCACCTGAAATTTCATACAAGCCAAAGAAGCTGTAAAAGTCTTTGAATGCGCTGTAGACAGCTTAAACATTATAAATGGTCTGTCACAGTGTAGGATCTAGATTTCCTGAGGAGCTCCCAATACTTTCTACATGTGAAATCATACCTGCTGCTTTTCCATGGAATGCATGTGATGCCCTGTACTGTAGGATACTCCATTCAATAGGTACATCACAAGGAGTCACAGTGATTGAGAAGTGAGAACTGTTTTCTTGCAATGAAAAATAGTACCTGAGAAAAATATGAACATATAAAATTATAATTAATATGTGCAAAAATACAGAGGAATCTGAGAACTGTATTTCAAAACATAAATGCTTGACTGTAACAGGAGCAGAGAGGACAGAATATTTAAAGTGGCCTCACAAGGAATGAGATTGTCGCTAGTGGTTTCAGGGCAATACATTTGGACCATGAACTTTGTTTTATTTATATAATGCATAAATGGTTAATTTAATCAACAAAAGACATTTACAGTTACAATTTATGGTTGTTGTGTAGTTGCATTATTACAAGAAATGTTTTTGATAAAACAGTGATAGCACAATTAGGAGGAAATTATAGGGGGAAAGGCAACGATAGCCTTTCAGAGAGCTGAAGTGGCAACGATGAGCTGTGCATGGGAGGCAAGGGGACAAGTGTCACAAAGTGACTAATTGAAGTATCAGCTATAACTGAAGTAGCTGCTATTATTACTCTACAGGTTTATGAGTAAAGTCTGGGAGGGGGGTGAAAAGCTTGGCTATAACCCTTTAAATACTAACTCTGTTAACTATTGGCCTCTAGGAGACCATTCCTGCTATTACTAAATTACCATAGGGATTCCCACTTGGAGAAAAGTCAGCAACCCTTTGCTGGAACTGAGTAGCTGTTAGACTTTAAGTGCGTGTTGCACCTCACAATTAAGAATTTTGCTGTTAGTAATGTTGGAAAGGGCTGAGCTATTGTTGAATAAGAGATGTTCAAGCACCCAACAGCAGAGTTGTCTCACGTGCTGGAAGGTAGTTGTGTTACTGAAGGTTAGGCTATATTGTTGCTGGGTATATTAGTAAAGCACTAGAGTGAAACAAACTTTGTATTTAGAGTACTAAAGTGGGCCTACATACATTATGAGGCTATTAAATGTTTTTTTACACCCCAGTTGCAACTGACAGGTTCTGTAGCATTTGAAACCACTAAGTGTGTAAGCTAGACTTTGTTCTGATCCACCATGCCTTAACAAACACATTAAATTTGTATGTTTTTATTGTGTATTCCTAAAAGGTGGCTGCCAGTTTAATAACACATGTGCACAGCTGGATGGTGGGCAAGTTTCCCATTTTACATAACTGCCTCATAGGGTCCATGTGCTACATTACTAAAAGTAGCAGGATTTTACAATATGCTCTATGACTATTCATTGCTATTCTTTCTTTCTGTTCCAGCTACTTCATTGTGCTTCTGTTGAATGAAGAATGTAAATATATGTAATATATTGATGAAAACCACTTCTAAATGGCCAGAGTAAAGGGCTAGAAGCACAAACACTCCTGACAAGAGTCATTAAAGGGCCACCTCTAAGGGAGGTGGCCCTTCGGCAGCTTTGTGAATGACCCTCTAAGTTTCATGTTGCCTTAACTACATATAGGCTTTTGGCTCCTGTAAGCAGCCTCTGTCATCCCTTCTTTCTGCAGTTATTTCTTAAAAAATACTTTTTTAAACTGGCCAGAAATAAAAGGAAAAACACCAATTTATCATTTTTGCAGTTTTTCTACTACCCTAGGTATTGGCTTACAGGAGCTTTATGTTCCTGAGAATAGACGGGCCTTAATTGTTGTCATTTCAAGAAAATTTTAGCAACTGTCTTGGTAGAAGTAATTCAGATTGCCTTAGTTATCAGTTTCAAGCAAGTGTCTTTTTTTTAACAAAATTCAAAACAAAAATAATATTTAAAAAAGTGACAACTGATAAATAATTTTTATATTTGTCCCCCAGTCAGAAAACCATAGGCCAGTAACTGTCAACCGCAATCCTTGCTTCATCTATTCGCATATTGAACTCCAGCCAAAACACTTTTTTTAGTTTTTTAAAAGAGTCATGATCATTGTCAGGTTTGTATTACCTGTGTCCTCCTTGGGAGATTTTCCCCCACAATAAAATACAGTAAAGAGTTCTAATCCTTCCTCACTCCACTAAATGGATGTGCTTTTGTTGCCCTGTCTGCCTGCATCAGAGAGACACCCTATCATTTCCTGTCGTTGTGGCACCCTATCAGTAGGACGGGAAGTGAGGATACATATTCCAGGGACACACTGATACAGTTTCTTATCCTTTCTCACTCTATAGAAAACTAAAACAAGTTGTGGCTGGAGATGGACTTTTAGACAAGCCTAGGACCAAGGTTCAAAAATAATGTTGTGGTATTAGAGGTTACAAAGAATTCAAAGCAAAGTGAGAAGTGTACATGCCAGTTGGACACATACAATGCCATATGCTCTGCCAAGGGAACAAAAACAGCCAATACTTGCTTGCTTGCAGATGTAAAAATAGGAAAATAGCTGAAACATAATGATAAGGTTACATCGTCCCAGATAAAAATATAACTCCCACCAAAGTGCTTCTTATATTATTAAAAGCATAGAGAACAGACTTTCTTTTATAATCTTGAGTTTTAGAAAGGTTTATTGTTCAAAGCATTTAGCCGCAGACTGAGGACTTGTTGGAGAGAAATTTACACTTGTAGATGTTTTCCATAGGTGCAGATGGCCAAAGTGGAAACAGCATTTGTTGCGTAATTCTAGACTAGGGTTTATGTGTATATGACTGAAATCAAATCCCTTCAACACACAGCTGATTTCTACTTTTATAGAAAGAAGAGAAAGAAAAAATTATAGTGCAAATGGAAGGATGGATCTGAATTTCATTACGTATTATTAACAGGTAATTGTAAGAGAGACATATGGCAATATTTATATGAAACTCTAACTATACACCCTATACACCCTTTATAGTTTAGAGGAATTTTAGATTGATGTTTACTATTAAACGTTTTTGTTTCTATCCTGTGGAGTTTATCAGGGGTGTGATAACCACATAATTTCCACAGGATATGCCAAGTTAAATTTTTCTTTTTTTCCAGTCCTTGAAAAGTCTGTGTTCTAATGGAATTCTAGTAGAGTTTAATATGGCCAACAGATGCACTGGGATCCCTCCAATAGATACAGTATCTGAAAAAAATTGCATATGCAGGTTTCTAACATTTTTTTCAATACAACTACGGCTTTATTTATAATTCAGAATAGGCAATATGTATTAGCTATTACACTTATTAGTATACTATTACAATGAGCAGAAGAGCAGTAACTAATATCTGTAAAGTCTGGTCAAACCAACCTACACCTACATGCACCTCACATCATAAAAAATTTCACTTCTCTGTTCAGCTATAAATGGGGGTATACTGTTTATAACAAAGCAAGAACAGCAGCTGCTCAGATCAATTTGTTAAACTAGTAAAAAAGGAAAGATGCACATAAAAGGCAGAGCAATATACAAATCAATTAAAACAGCACACTCTCCAGCTAGTCAGAACATTTTTTTTAAACTATTGGAAATATAAAGCAATGCATATATAAATTGCTCTCAATCTTTGCATTACTATATGTGTCCCATACTTGGGAGCTCGGATAGCTTACAGTTAGGGACCACACATCAGATGTGCCTTGATGGGGTAGTCTGGCTTTACATGCATTTCCAAATGTATGCAAGAAAAAAGACTATTTCTAATCTGAAATCTTGTGATTATATTACACACCATACACACACACATATGTTAAAAAAGCGTTATTCTTTATTAAAAAAAGTGAAAATAAGTTGAATACAGTAATACAAAATTCCATAAACAACTACACAGGGAAATAGTTTTTACAGATAGTTACAGTCACCAAATACAGACATGGCCTTTAATCATGATATGCTGCCCTTTTACATATGATACTATAGGTCTCTCTGGACTTTCTAGTGAAATAGTAAGCTTAATGGTGCCTGAATCTTTAAGATGAATGAGTTGGTTATGTGAATGTTTATATATATATGGTAATGGTTGTTTAATATTGTTACAATGCAAGCTAAAACTCTAAAAAAAGGGCCACAGCTTTATTTTTTAATTTGTATAATCATAATTCATCCTGTAAAGGATTAGTTTTTAAGTAAGGTGGGTATAGTGGGTGTTTACAACCCAATGTACAAGCCAATTTATTGTAGACAGAAGCACTTGAGGAAAGACCAGTTTTGTGGAAAAAGGGGTACCATAACTAACTTCCGTCCACAAAACAAATGCTTGGCTCGATTAGTCCTTTATACCAATGTAGTGCTACCCACGAAGGAGCCGCTGTGCCCAGTTCATTTCTAGTCTGTCTACGGTATGATCTTCAGCTAGCCACGCATTAACATTAACCTCCCTTCTTCTATCGCCACCAAAAGCTGATGTCAACTCCAGTAGAATAATGCTGAATAACTTTTATTGAACATCTTCATTGGGGAGAGAGGGTATAGGGATCCTAAGCTTCCAGGGTGTAACAGTCATAGACTCCAGACTCACCAGACCTCTTAAGCATGGAGACTGGATGGAGACTGAAGTAGCAGATGAGCATAAATCCTCAGCAAGAGAGACACCAGCCATGCCCCTGAAGTCCTTTGAGTTCCAGGTAACTTCAGCAGCCATCCGTTATCCTGGCTCTTCTCCTCTGACAGCAACACAGGCTTTCTCCATGTTGGAGGCCCCAGGGAAACATTTCCCTCACACCAGCCTATGCTGGATAGCACCCAGCCCTAATCCATGGCTGGTCCCGGCTAGTCTGAGCACATGGCAAATCCCTCCAGTATATGTACCCTATCCCAGCATGCACCACTAGTAGAGAGAAACCCAGTGATTGGCTGCAGTAGTGTACGTACACTACGGTGCCTCTCATTGGCTGTCCCAAAATATGACAGAGTCACACTCCGCCCAGGGGGGTACAAACAATGCCAGACACCGGGAATTAACCAGATAATTACTACTATAATCCAGCCAAGCTGACAACAGCCCTGGCTATCACTAAATGTCTAGCAGCCACATCACAGAAGGTTATGGGGTTACACCTACTTTCAAAAGAGATGAACTAAACCTCTTTAATTGTTTTTACACTGTCCTATCTCATGAGATCCTAGAAGTCTGAGAATGGGGTTGTAATAAAGACAATTTACATTGATCA